TGTCAGGTGGTACATCTTCTTTTTTGCCTCCTTCGTAGCTCCCTTTCAACAATGCCATCCATCAAAAAGCCTTCATTTGATTATACACTTGGAAGACCCTTTTGCCTATTACCGTATCACCTCTCCAACCAACGACATAGACACTGTATTTGTGGCAGCCAGGAAAGATCGAAAAAACCAATGGGTGCTGGGTGGGTCTAATACAGAAATCAAAATTAAATGAAGAGGTAAATCTCTCCTTTTGAGGCGTCTCGAGAGATTATACGGTGGGTCGCTGCAGATCATGTACACCTCAGTGTGTTAATTGTCATTACACAGGTTACTCTTCGACGACTTAGTAGTCTCAGTATTTCGTGTGGAAGTAATATTTTTTTTTGTTCATTTAGGTCCTAGGTCTAACCCGTTATCCCCGAAGAGTCAAGGACCGGGAAGTAACATTGTTGTTGTTGTTGTTTTATTCAAGTCCTAAGCTAAAGCTCCAAATCCACTATGAGGGGGACTATTCTCAACACCTGTCAGTGGTGTCCCCTACGAACTTCTAGGTCTCACTGTAGAGTCTGCAGAGCCGATATTGAGTAACAAAGTCCTCACTTCGACGAGGATTCCCAATCGCTTTCGCGCTCTGTATCGTCTTCATCTCTCAACACATTCCCCTATCACCACTATCATGAAGCTAACCACGATCAGATCAGATGGTAGGGTCGAAGCCCTACTCGTCACCCACCCTTGATCATGGAAGAAAAGCCATCCGATGAGTTTCCGGAGCGTACCCAGCACCCGATACGGAGATGGTGGATTGGATCAAGTCGACCTCGACTGTTGCAAAGAAGGGAGATATAGATGAATATGCGCACCTCATGTGGTCCCGGTGTCTAGGCCTCGCCTGGCTGGGGCTGCAGGTTTTTTGAGACTTTTTCCCGCGCACGCAGTTTCCATTGCTACCATTTTTATTTTTTTTGGGTAGAAGGTTCCGTGGAAAAGGTGGCTGAATTCCACGGGTACATACTGAGCTGAATGGCTATTCATCAAGGGGAATATATCAATGATCTTTCAAGTAACAAAAGAGGATAGGAGCACTGTACAAGGTGTGGCCTGGGTCAGAGAGGAGCCCAATGTGCTAGATAGTCATAGACTCAAGTAGTACAATAAAACACACACACACACAAATCCACTATGAGTACAGGACCGATGTTCACAGCCAGAACTACATCTAAGACATACCCAGCTTGATTCCACCGCATGAACCACCACAAAACCAGCAGTAAGTTAAAAATATACGCCGACGCGAACTCCTTTAGCCAAAATTAACAAAAGAAAAAGATAAATTGCAAATAATTTAGAATGGGAAGCAATACTCCTCGCCTCGATTCCTATTTTGTCAGGTTTAGTTTCCTGACGAGTTATATTCGATCTCCACTGAGAGTAGGAGATGGATGCACAGGAGAATACCCAAAACAATTGGTATCCTGCGCAAATTGTTTGAAGCTCTCGAAGCACTTAGGCCCGGGAAGTAACATTGTGATGAGGTCTTTGCACAATTTAAGGGTACAAGGCTGAATAGTCAGCCTCGTGTAATTTTATCATAGATGTATCACTATTGTAGTTTAACAAGAACATCTTTATCCCAACGTACACTGTTATCTGATCAGATACCGAGGCACAGCCTATCCAACACAGTGAGATACTCTCTACCTCCCTGGACTTCTTTTAATCTTCATTCCACATGACAAATCTGTGTGGTGTAGAATATTAAATTATTCTAGGAGATTCTTGTCGTGAGGCAGCTTAAGCTTAGTTCTTTATTTAATAGTGGATATCAGAGAATACGGCAGAGTCGTAGGGAACAGAAGTTGTCCTGGAAATTGTGGCTCAGCGTCTGATTTGTGAACCCCACCTTGCGATCTGGAGGCTCGTAGGAGACAGCATTGACAGATGCTAAGCCTTCGTACCTCTTCCGGTGAATGTTGAGAAGTAGTGAGGTACCCATTAGACTGATTATAGCATCAAATTTAGTCTTGCTAAAGAGGCTTCCCTTTCAGATCTGACCTGTTCCCAGGAGCAAAGTTATGAGGCTATTGGTGTGCCTGCGTTAGGTTGATCAAACCAAATCAGATCTAGAATCTAACATTAACACATCCATTAGGAATCTTTCCATGAATAATCAAAATTGCAGCACTCCTTCAGCGCCATTACGTTGGCACGAATGCTTTGACATTCGCACATTTTATCGGGTGGATGATGCAAATAAATTAAGAATGGTGGTCAAGAGAATAACCGAGATAAAGATATCGAATTATTGCGTCTCATATTGTGGAGGAAGGCAATGCGCAATTCATCACCTGCCGATCGAAGCTTGATGGACAAACAGCCTAGTAAGAAAGTTACTAACGCGCGATGGAGTCTCTTTAGCCAGATGCAGTTAAAAATGGGAACTTCGAAAGTGGTTGGCTAATTGAGATGGTGCGTTTGTGCACCCGAAGACTTTTATCAGCATGGCCAACGTGACCCTAGACTCAAGTTGCCTGGGGCAGATGGTCTTTCTCTAATGTAGATTTCTAATGGAACGACCAAAGTGTTGATAAAGCAAGGATCCACTAGGACGAGCACTTGGCGGATCATATTCGCCACAGCTGGTATGATTTACTTCAAGGTCAGAGAAAGTTTGGTATTGCCAATAATTTTTTCTACGAATATGATCTCAACAAAGTAAGATAATATTAACTGTGACAACCTTACATTGGCCTGTGCGGATAAATGGCCGATAACTAAATCTGGATATCTACGGCGGTTCCGCATGTGCACTGTAAGCATAACTAACACAGTTGATAAACTGGCCCATCCTTACTTCCTCGGTTTATGCGCCAACTAACTGAATTTTCCTAGTCAAACTAAGTCTTCCAATGCATGATGCATAACAGCACATAGTCTCCCAATCCTACGATCCTTATATCTCCTATTTCTTCTCCGTAGACACCGGCGCCTGGATATTTGTCATCACGCGAACGCGATGAGTTACTATTAGGCGCGATCACAGCCATCTCTAATCGGACCTGTACACACAAGTCAGCACAGGATCTCTCGCATCAGTTACAACCAAGCTTGGTTTACGGTCACTCTAAGTATAGAGCTTAGAACTAATTGAGGCCATGTCCTCTGTTCACAGCTTAACCAATTCGCCTACTTCAATCCGACCCCCTAGCAGTGCTCAAAAAACAGAGGTACTAATCAACATCTACGATCTCCTTCCCGTAAGTCGCAATCTCTATCTACAACCAAAATAATACTTCAGAAGACTGATCAACAACAGCCAGGGAAACTATCTTCCTTACTGTGGGCATGCGGATCTGCGCTCCTCCATTCCGGGGTAGTGATTAACAATCGAGAGTATGCATATGGTGGTCACAATAGCAAAGGCGTCACTGGAATCTATTATACTTCTCCCAAAAGCGTCCCACCTGGTGGAACTTTTCGCTGTAAGATCTTGCATGGATTTACTGTTCGGCCTATGACCGAGATCGATACTATCATTAAAGAAGCCTCATTAGTCTTTCAAGGTACATCTTATAACATCTTGACTAAAAACTGCAATCACTTTACTTCATACTTATTGGAGAAGCTCACAAGCCGGCCTGGTCCATCTTGGCTGAATAGAGCTGCGAATATTGGGGTTGCATTGCCTTGTGTTGTCCCGAAAGAGTGGATCGCGCCGCCTGATTTTGAGACAGCCGATGGCGAATTGGTAGAGGAGGATGATGACGAGCCAGACAGGAATCTTGAAAGTAGAGGAATGCTCGAAACTACAGACACAAAAAATCGGATAAGCGTAGAAGAAACTACACATAGTAATGAGGAACAAAAGAAGATTGTTGAGAGCGAAGAAAGTATCATAGCCGTAGGTTCATCTACCACAAGTGATGTTCCCGTGGACGGGGCGTCCCTAAAAACTCGAGGCCGTCCGCAGAGTCTAAAATGAAAAAGTGTTGTTGGGCGTTTCAAGGGAGTAGATTTGTCATTGGCGTTGGGTATTTCCCTATACAGCTCGACCTTTATTCTCGCTACATAGTTTCTGATTACCTGTATTTGATGATAAATTAAAGTCGTTCCATTTAACCCAGGCGCCTGGGGTTAGCGCTGCGTGTTCCTCCAAACTTCAATCTTGTCGAATCTGCCACCTTGACGATTTTCTTTCGAATATGTCTGCCCTCCATTCCAAGTAACACTCTAGTGACCGCCTCTCTCCCTGCTCCGAATCCTCGAAGATAAACTTCTAGTTTTTCGATATATGAATTAATTCCGCTCTCCTGCATCCGTGCCATCACATAGGTAGCTAACTGAAACGCGCTATCATAATGTTTTCGTCCGCTATGTTTGAATCCCAACCTTCCGGCGCTTAAACTCAGGGCTACTGATCTCGATGGAGGATTATCTCCGTATACTTTTCCAGTGACTGGGTGTCGCCAAGCTGGCGGTCGTGCAACGGTAATGTGAACATTGTGACGATGAGCGTAAACATGTATCTGCCAGGAAGTCTCCTTAAAAACGCCGTCTTTTCCTAATATTGCGCCGGGAAGTTCGACCAGATCCCCAGTAGAGCTTATCGTGTTTGTATCAAGCAAGGAAGGTCTACGTGTCTTGGTATCGCCAGCAAAGTCGAGCAGTGTCCCTAAGGCTTTGAGATTATGAGCACCGTTGCTATGGTTGATAGAGGAATCTGGCATTGATTTGAGGCATCTCGACGGAGTTTTGAAGAAATTATTGAAGTAAGCTGTTTGTTTGTAGGAATAAAGCCTGGCTAGGCAAGGTGGTATCAGTTTAACCATTGTTTAATTGTATCATAAATCTGCATTCTTGGACAAAGATTTAATTCTGAGGAGCCTTGCGCAGCTATTACCGAATCGACTTAGCGCCGGCTACTACTTTTTGGCGTATGCAGAAAATTTAGGGTGACTAAAGAGCATGAACCGCTGAGTGTGATCTAGACAAACTTTATCTTTGAAGATATGAGTGTTATTCGGCTTGCTCCAAAGGTATGGGCTTCAAATTTTGCAATTCATAGAGCTAGGGTACCTTTAATTGCGAGAATAAACATCAGGGACGCTGGCGATGGAAAGTCTCGGCACCATCTAAGATTTTTCTCTGCGCAGAATATACCTCGAACTACCAGGCTTGATGCGGTGGCTCTCTTTGGATCTCATCAACCCGTAGAAACTTTCCCTAGAGTTTTTCGGATATTGCGACTCTATTCTAATGATGCAAGGTCAGCAAAGGAAAATGCTACAGCGGACGCAGCTACAGATAAGGAAAGTGATGATAACGGATCGTCACCGAAAGGGCCCAAACATAATTCTCAATCCGAATCAACAGATGAAAAACGAAAAGATAATCCCGATGAGCCAAGCAAGAATGAACGACAGAAGGATTCTGCACCACCTCCACCTCACGGCGATAAGACCCCGTGGCAAGTATTCACTGAAACTTTAAAAAGTGAATTTAAAGCATCTAAGGAATGGAATGAATCTACCAAAGCTCTGGCAGCTGGGGCCCAGCAAATTACCGAAAACGAGCCAGTGCGGAAGGCGAGAGAAGCATTAGAAGCAACCACGGGTGTTGTTGGATCTACGACCGCAAAGGTACTCAAGACTACGGCAGGGGCTGTTGGAAAAGGTGCATCTTGGACCTGGGAAACTCCCGTAGTCAAGGGTGTTCGCACAACGGTCAATGCTACAGCGACAGTAATAGAGAAGGGGACGCGACCATTACGAGAGACTGAAGCCTACAAGAACGTTAAGAATGTAATAGATGATGGTGGAAGCTCGCGGTATGGTGGATGGGTTGAGAAAGAAGAGCGAAGAAAGAGAAGGGAAGCTAGAGAAGTTGAAGAAGCAGGCAAAGCAGGGTTTTCCGGGAAAACAATGGAGGCCGTGAGGGAGAATCCGGAGTATGTTAAGCCCCCTCTTACACATTACAGCGAACACTGACAAAATAAGAACAAGTACCAATGTTACTGTCCACAAAGACGCTGCCTGGAAAGAGTCGTGGCGGGATTTTCGAGACTCTAATAAGATGATGCAGGGTTTATTCTCCTTGAAATCAGCATTCCGAGATTCGGAAAATCCTCTGGTCTCTACTGCTCGGGGTATATCCGATCGAGTAGCTGGGCTGTTTGCAGAGAATGAAACTGCTCGGGTCATCAAGAAATTTCGCGAAATGGATCCCGCTTTCAGGATGGAGCCATTTGTTCAGGAAATGCGCGAGTATATCCTCCCAGAAGTGTTGGATGCCTACGTGAAGGGTGACAGTGCAACTTTAAAGCTCTGGCTCTCTGCTGCTCAGTTCCAAGTCTACGACGCCTTATCTAAACAATACATTACCGCTGGTCTCAAGTCCGATGGTCGTATTCTAGATATTAGGAATGTCGAGGTTCTCTCGGCACGCATTCTTGAGCCTGGAGATATACCAATTTTTATTGTGACTTGCCGCACACAAGAAGTACATGTCTATCGAAATGCAAAGACTAACGAGCTCGCTGCTGGAATGGAGGATAGAGTTCAGCTTGTTACCTATGCCATTGGCGTCACCCGTCTCCCCGAAGATGTGAACAATCCAGAAACCAGGGGTTGGAGACTCATTGAGCTCCAAAAAAGTGGCAGAGATTACATCTAGCCAAGGCATCATAAAAAAAAGGTTGTATACCCTTGCTTGTTTTCGCTTGGTACGTCTCACCACATCTCGAGATGACAATCAAGCGGTATTGTATGTCTAAAGGTGCATGGCGTTCAGGATGGGGCTTGAAATAATTAGGCCTGGCACTGATATATCTTCGCGAGGCTGCTTTCTGCTTTGGTTTCCAGGCTCCACACCACTACTTGTCACCAAAAAGTTACACGGCCGGCGTGTCTATCTGTACTATAATGATGTATAATTATTTTTGAGAAGTATTACTAGAGCCCTGAAACTGCTCAAGGATTCTAAAAGTCCTGCCAAGCAAAATCCCTTCCGGAAAATTTCCATATGATGTGTAGTAGGCCTAGTCGTGTGAATGTTTAAAGCTGCGATCTGGCAGGAATGAGTTGATCTTTGGTCCCTCACTTTCAGTCTGATTCTCGCGTGTTCGACTTACGAGATCCTGTGACAGCTACTGTTCCTCATCAACGCCCTATAGTCAGCTAAAAGAAAAATTACGACGACAAACCATAGCCCCACGAGGCCGATCTAGAATTATGTGGTCAAGGTCCGAACACGTTTGGATTTTGCCAGACATGTGCTGCTCCCAGAAGGCAAAAGTTCATCGAAGTCCCACTCCATTTCTCCCAAGGCCAAAGGGCCAATACCAGGAAGTGTTGCCCAGGTGTGATGATAAAATCATCTCCCGGGGCTAAGATTCAGTCAAAAAAAGATTATTTTCACAAGCATTCCACGAAATGGCAATCGAGGGGGGTCGCGTGACTAGTTTTTGGCCAAAGCTGCGACCTGCATAATCTCACGACTTCCACGAGCTCAGCCCAAATACGGAGCCTAGACAGGCCCACAGCCTTCCGAGGCTCAAGGTCAAATAAATGTCACCTTTCAACCTCGTAACTTTCAGACAAGATCTTTCCTAGTTAACACCATCTGCATTTGCTCTCAAAAGTCGTAAGGCCATAGCCACCATTAACGATATAGTGAGTCATCCAATTCTCCGCAACTATCGCGAGCTGTGAAGGCATGGTCAAAGTACCGGCCAAGAACACCAACAACTTGACTTGTAACGGATGGCCATCGATAAAGTAGGTATGGAATTTGCCAGCATGCCATCTACGACATTTGAGAAAGTCCGCGGAATCTACACCTCTACATTCAGCTCTAATTCGTATATTTGGCGTGTGCTACCTAATAAAAAGGGGGGACGGGAAAAAGCAGTGAAGATAGACAGTCGTTAAGGTTTTTGAGATGGAGAGATTGACGAATGAAACAAATAGACGCGACAATGGATGAATAAAGAGAAGCAAAAAAATGACAACTCGATTGCTGATTAGACGAGGCCTCTAATGAAGATGACCCCTGGATAAGATGATGAGGCGCCAGAACTGAAGGGAAATGAAAAGTGCAAGAATGGAAAGATGTCAAGGGCTCGGGCGCCTGGTGCATAAGCTCAAGAAGGGAAGGCAAGACTGAACACCTATACTCGGTATCCTCTACGAACGTGGGAGTGAAATATTCTCCAACTGCCAAGTTCACTCGAATTTCGCAATTCCGAACAAGTTGGCCCACGAGGCAATGATTCAAAATACTCCACCATGTCAAATTTCCACACCCAAAGAGATCGATTCCTACCTAAGCCTCATCAAGTCTTCAGGTACGACCCAGTACATCCTCATCCCAATAACTACACATCCCGTCAACTGTCTCTAGCCTCAGCTGATCGTCAAATACACGCTCATGCCGATATTTACACCCGCAGGATGACGCAAATCGTGGCGCACAAATCTGGAAGACAGTTCTTTGGGCGGTTGGACTTGATATGTTAAACACATAGACAAAGTCTAACGTGGGACGAGTTTTACGTAGTAGTGGTTGGCCTGATCCAGTCCGGCCCCACTTGTGCTTAAGCTTCTATGGGAGCGCGGAGGATGATGAGTGTCTAGCATCTCGATTTTTAAACAAACTCTATTTGTCAGTTATCAGCTTACGCTATCCCCAATCAAATCGATTGCCAGTGTTCAACTTAGATCTAAGAATCTCTATTGCTCACAGTGATATCTTTCATCGACTGAGCCTGGGGCTACCTTGAAAGGTCAATGACACTATAAATATCTACTGAACGAGCGCAAAATACTGAAAATATGGCTGTTGCTACAATCTATGAGAATTCTACATGACGTTTGGTGGGTGGTAGCACGAACATAGTTGATTCTAGGAGTCAATGGAAGAAAATTTGAATCTTCAATAGTTTGTTTCGCACATTGTCTTCTAACGACGAACGAGATTGCATCCAAGCCGTGAGTCGAATATGTTATTCGTGTATAATCTACTCATACTCATAATAATTAGAGGCCAAATCGTCCTGTCTTATTGGGCTCCCGAGCATGCTTTCGACGTATATACCCAAATATCATAAATATTGCCACCGAAATTATTTATAAATAAAAATATTGTTAAATTACAATAGCCTTGGTCAAACATAATCATCCTTATACCTTCAACATAATGGAGTTAGGGTTGTGGTAAATGTTAAATTAAGAGTATAAGGGTAAGGCGTTTGGAGATTTTATATACCCTGTATTATTAGTCCCTTATTAGCTTGTAGACTAGGCTGGTAAGTTGTTGTTTATTTTACTACTTGAATCTATGACTATCTAGCACATTGGGCTCCTTTATGACCCAGGCCACACCTTGTAAAGTGTTCCTTGTCTATTTTGTTACTTGTAAGATCATTGATATATTGCCCGTGATGAATGGCCATTCAGCTCAATGTGAACCCCTGGTATTCAGCCACCTTTTCCATGGAACCGTCTACCCAAAAAAAATGGTAGTAATGAAAACTGCGTTAGCGAGATAAAGTCTCAAAACCTGTAGCCCCAGCCCGGCGAGGCCTAGACACTGGGACTATATGAGATGCGTATATTCATCTATATCTCCCTTCCTTGTAACAGTCGAGGCCGACTTGATCCAATCCTCCATCGCCGTATCGGGTGCAGGGTTCGCTCCGGAAACTCATCGGATGGCTTTTCCTCCATGATTAACGGTTGGTAATGAGTAGAGCTCCGACCCTACCATCTGATCTGATCGTGGTTAGCTTCATGATAATGGTGATAGGAGAATGTGTTGAGAGATGAAGACGATACAGGCCGCGAAAGCGATTGGGAATCCTCGTCGAAGTGAGGACTTTGTTACTCAATATCGGCTCTGCAGACTCTACAGTGAGACCTAGAAGTTCGTAGGGAACACCACTGACAGGTGTTGAGAATAGTCCCTCGACTAGGCTGGTAGACACATATTAGTAAGAGCATAGTCGCAGCATGAATTGATGCTGCGCGTGCCGTGAGATTTACACGTTCTGTTGACCCTATAATTTATCAGTTCTACTTCCAGTACTACTGTATCACCCGTTTAAAGGAATCATATTCTAATAAATATAAGAATTTGTTAAAAATATGCAAACGTATAAAATGAGAATCAAAGAAAAAACTTTACACCATTTTGGCCTCTCTATAAGTAGTTACCGCTCAAATTTTTATTTCCAAATGAGATTCTAGTTTAAATTATAAAACCTTATATATCCCTACGATGTATCTTGAACCCATATGACAATTGATCATTCTTAATCCCGTCAGAATTCGCAAGATGATGATTAATCGTACGTGTATTTGCCTATTAATTATCGTTTGAGACTAGATTTGATAAAATGAAGGCTTTTCAAATACATCCGCTAAGCCCATTCTATATTTGTTCTGATATGAGTCCAGTAAAGAATCCGATTTGGTAGAATTATTGTAGTACTCATGGACTATAACGTTAATTCTTGACAGCTTTTTCGCTTGGATTTACGGCCATTTAAAGGCCCAAATCTCAGCTCTACTCGTTTCTCTTTCAGATTTTATATAAGCTATCCCTCAAGTCGTCCAGAATGTATAAGCTTTGATTCAGGATAATATAAATTGTCAGGGCTGGGATGCGGAGCGGATTGTAGGTCTCTCTCTTGCAAGACCTCATCCTTAGCTTCATTACTCAAACAGGTTCATGACTTGTAATTTGTGTATTTTCATTTGACGATTTCGTGTCATATCATCCAGGGAAATTCTGTAAGAGGTATCATCAATATAAATTTTGGATTAACTTTGGAATGAGTCAATGTGGTTTCCTTTTATTCTTCTTCTTAAGCATAGAATTAATACCCAAACTATTTTTCATCACTACAGAACCAATACTAGGAAATACTTGGTGATGAATTACATCGGGCTTTAGATCCGTTGAACTTGTTAACGAGGGTTTTCGCATACTCATTGATACTTTTCTGGTCTCTTCTCGAGTCTGGATAATCTTAGAAGAATTTTCACTAGGAAATTTGTTTGCGACAAAGGGAGACCCCGATCCAGATGTATATATCCTGCTCTGATTGGGACACCTTATCATTTTCTTGCCAGAGTTTAGGACAGAAACTTTTGTCCTAGAGTGTTGCTGCCACCTTGAGTTCCATAGAAGTCTGGGGGTTTCTAGTACAAAGCTGCGCGCTGTCGAGGGCGATGAGAGGGGTGACTTTGCATTTGGAGTTTCTAGTACTATGGAGGGCTCTACTTCTCGTTGCAAATATTGCTCAGGGATGCGAGACACTCTTTTTACTTCACAAGAGACTGATGGTAAGTCTGAAGATTTGACTAGTTGGTCACAGTGGTGATTTTGGGATTCCTCAAATAGATATTGTTTATGGATTGGTTTGTTCGATGTTGAGGGTGATTGGCGGGGTGTTGGTAAGGCCTGACCCTTGATCCTCAGTTCGTTCATTTCCTCTTCATCTTCGGAACTCTCTTGTAACGCTTGGAGCTGATCAAAGTACTCTTTCTTGTCCTTGGGATCATCAGCCTACCAAAGGGGTCTCTGGGCTGCTAACTAACCATCTTTCGGTTGTCTTCTTAGCATTGATTGACTTGATTTCTTGAAACACTATTTACAGTGACTATTCTCTAGTAGTCGGCTGATTATGACACCTAGAGTTGTAGGAGTTTTGCCAAGGCCGTAGAGCACAGGGAATGAAAACGGTCCATTGAGGGCGATAGGAACCTAATTATGAGTGAAAGCATGGTTGGTTCCAGGGTTGATGGCAAGTAGTGTTGTGCTGAGGTCAGTTGGAGGATTTGAGGTCATGGCCCTTGGGAGACATCGATGGCTTGTCTAGACGGGAAGATGCTTCGATCTCTACGAAAACTAGAGGCATTCATTTTCGCAGGAACCCGAAGCAAGCTTGCCTGCCTCAGTATACACGTCATCACGAGTAACAGGAGCCGTGCGGATCCATATGCCCAGCTTGTCGCCTAATCATACATTGGGGACGAGGATTGCTGATTAATCTATTTGAGCGTCACCGATAAAACTGTAACTATGAGGAGCCAATAATTCACGCCAGAGAAAAGAGATGAATGGATCCTTAAACATCGACAATACTCTGATGTAATGAATCGATTCTGGGAACAAAGGTCCGGACTCTGGATTTCTTCGTGGGGGAATTCCCCGTCACCACTTGCACTCGGATTCACGAATTGATGCCGATAATTACAGAGAATGGCTTTTAGTCACCATGAAATTTTGATAGATTACATCCCCACCATCATCGAAGCCTCTTCTATTGGCCCTAGAAGCAATAGCCCACCGCAATTTGGGCAGAGAAAATACAGTTACTCGTCATACCTAGACTTGAAAAGCATAAGCCGTAGTACGGCTAGAGAGCGGGAGGTAGCGGATGTGAGCCCGGACCAAGCTATCGGCAGCTGGTGGAAGAAAACTTCTCGAGGCGCGAGATTTACCCCGTAATAATTCAATTACGGTCGACCTGCCAAGAGCGGTAATTCCAATAAAAGATCAAACTGGAATTAATACTAGACTAGTAATGACTCAGCGCCGTTACTGTCAAATTGGTGGGGGAGAGGTATGGCTTTCCATCCTTCTCTACAGTTGTCTGACTGGCCCAGTCGCACTCAAGTCCCATTAGGAGTCTCGATTCCTTGGCCCGTTTTCACATATCTTAAAAAACAGCAGTCCTGTGCGTTCACCTGTTAAGTTACGAAGCATCTTACGATAGCCTAATAACTCACAGCACGCCTGTGATCCTTAATAATACAATGCCTTTAATTTCGTCAAGTAAGATGTATGCTTTCCATTTTAATTCACCCCCGATACTCCTACAGAAGCTACAGGATGGAGGGCAAAGACTAAACACTTATACGCAGTCTTCTTTACGAACCTGGGAGTGAAAATTTCTTCGAGAGCCTAATGCTGTCAAATTTCGCAATATCAAAGAGGTTAGCCGACAAGGCAACGATTCAAGACGCCAAATCAATTTCACCCTCCCAATAAAATCGATCTCCACGGAAACCTCACCAAGCTTTCAAGTATGACCTAGTACATCCTCATTTCAATGATCAAATGTATTCTTGACTTTCTCTGGCCTCAGCTAGCCAACCAATACACGCCCATGCCGATATTTACACCCGACGGAGGAAACAAAGAGTGGCGCAAAAATCTAGGAGACAATTCTTCGGAATGGGCTTGAGAAGAATCAAAACGAGTTTGCAAGGTGACGCAGAGGATGGGCATAATCTCGAGGGGTGTTGATTCTTGGATTTTGGCAAGGAGTTTTACGAATTGAGCTGTGTGCGCCATATGACTTCGATTTCGAGAGTGCAGGCGACACTTGAAACACTGCCATGGTTGAATGATGTGGTGGTACATTATCTGGGCTAGTCTCCCCAGTAGGTTCTAGATATCTTCGACATCTATCTCACTTGAGACAGAAGATCACTGGTTCGATTCTAGCAAGGCTCCAATACATTTCTGGCGGTGCAAATATATATGGAAATACCCATAATTCTACAGCGCCCAGCTGGCCAGCCTCTTCGAACGCATCAGAAGGGCCACTTTGTATTCTAATTTAGTCCTAACGTCAGTTTTGGAAGAGCCTCGCACCCAGTGGTTATGCGATTTTTCCTGGCTGCCATACACTCGCAAATGGCTATCGTTTCTTTGGCTGGAGAGGGGAGATAATGAAGGGCAAAGGGCTCCTCTAAGTGTTTGATCGAACGAGGACTTGTGAGGCGTGGTACTGTTTGATGGGAGCTGTATGGTAGGTATAGAAGGGGATATACTACTGGCATAGGCATTCTTGGCCTGAAGGCAGAGAGAACCTACATATTGTTAAATAGTCAGACTAAATAGGACGGTAAACACTAAACAAAAATGATGTACATGGATGGCGAAGATAAGCTCAGATAACCAAAGATTTTGAAAAATTTCTTCTGAGTACTCACGAAGGAGAGTCGACTGTTCTGCGTAGGTAAATACACCCAACAATAACACTCGCCAATAATGTCCAGAGTATAAGTGTTTATGAAGTCAAAAGAGTCAAGTGACGGGTACACACAGCGCTAATTATGTTCCATAATTAGATAGCTGCACACACATTAAATGATTAAAAAATATGCACTAAGTAGCGATTCTTCGTATGTACCTCCTTAAAAACTCCCTTCCAACAGTGCTACCTCTTGTAAGTCTTCATTCGATCACATACTTGGAGGAGAATTTAGTCCTTCAATATCCTCCCTCTCCAACCAACGAAACATGTGCTGTATATGGTTTCATAGCAGCCAGAATAAATTGGAAAACCACTGAGTGCGGGGCTTCTCTTATATATAAATCAGGACTAAGTCTGATGACGTAGCCCTCTTTTTGTGGTATATCAAAAGGCCGGCCATTGGGTCGTCGCAGACTCGCGTATACCTCAGTGATTAATTATTTACCTCTCATAATGCCTTTCATAATCTTCTACTACTCGCACCTCGAGACAAGTGTTAAATAAGTAAGGTGCCACAGATTTCTTTACTGAAAGCGTATCCTTTAGCTTGGCTTAGCCAAACTGCTTTATGCACTCCAGGTTTATGGAAGATGTACTGTAATTTTAGACAATAGAAGTTTTCCTGGACAGTGTAAAATGTAATTTAAGCCCACGAGGGTTCAAGGCGAGAGCTATAGGTCCCTTGGGCGCCAAGATTTGAAATCTATGAGGGATGTTTTCCGACGACTCTTTGATTTTTTGGGGCCAAATTTTGACAGATCCAAATTTATCCCTGTTTTCAGGGCACTCACCCGTTCCGTCTTTTCCGTGTCAGAAGCCTTGGCGATCAGGTCTTTTTCAATTTCATCTTTTTTCAAATCATTTATTGAGTATTCATCTATCTAGCTATGATACATGATGGGTGCTATGTATGGATGTGAGACGACTCTCTTGACGTTAGAGACACTCCTATGGCGATAGGCTCATGTATATGATAAAACATTTCAACTAAGAGCTAAAAGGAAGGACACTATAGCCTGGGTCGTGATAGAATGCTTGTCTATTATTAAAGGCGTTATGTTGATCAGATTTATCCCTTTTTGATTTTCCAAGGCCGAGAAGTTGCGTGCAGTTCCAACGTGGACATTCAGATCGAGACTGGGCCACAACCGAGTCTTTAGTATCAGACCCGAAATGAGGAATCGAGCAAAGTCTTTGTGCTCAAAGAAGAAACCTCTACTGACAGACATTTAACGGGTTACATAATGTGGTTGTGTATTAGAAGTAGTAGCGCGGTGGTCGTTTATTTACGCGTCGTAGATAGAAAACAAGAGGGCATTTGCGAGCTCCCACAACTCTGAACCCTAACGTACTTCTCTGACTTAGATTGGAGCTACGAGAGGAGCTGATCATAGAATTCCTGAGATAAAAAATTTATTGCTAGAGACTGTGACGTGATTTCCGGGACACTAGAGAGCAGATGATTTAGGCTCATTGAATTACAGAGTGGTATATTTTGTTGAAGTATCAGCCTTACGCTATTTTGTGTCACGTGATACTTTACCCTTGTGTATGCATACTCTGCTAGCAGCAAATACTAGCGTAAGATATATAGGTTATACACACTTTAATTAACTTATGTGTCGATTAGCCTTAATTTACGTATACATATGGTTAGTTCAATGCAAAACGAAAGGTACAAAAGTGAGGTATGAATCATGTCTTCTCTCTATCTAAGAACTTTGCGAATGTGTAGTTCGTGGTATTGGCTGAGTCATTGTCTTGATGACTCAGCAACAGAAAGATGCACTAGGCTTAGTGCTAAGCAAATTGAACTACTTTCCGACATTATGATCTATATACCCTTTTAATTCCTCAATATATTTTATACGACCTGGACCTTGAATTATATCTTCGTGAAAGATATGCAGCCTTCACTTCTTGCCATAGAGACAACGAAACCTGTTCTCAACAGTGAACTTGTCTACGGGAGATGAGGTGAACCATTAATGGGGATCCCACCATCAAATGAAGGAAACCCTCAATTAGAATGAAGTAGAAAAGTTGTATGTAAATAGTCTGTCCTACATAGTAGAAAACTCAAATAGGACATAAATTGATAAATAAATAAAGAATAAATATCTACGGGAGACGGGGTTCTCTCTGTTAAAGATTTAATCTGTCCATAGCTCTGAGCTTGATGATGGCTAGCAGGACGAAGAATGACATGGTCTATCACCAAAGATAAAAGGGCGATAGATATAAACCAGAAGATAAGACCAAGGTAAAAAGGGGTGATTAGCCTAGAATAGTTATGGGCATTGTGAATGTAGTCGGAAGCATCATCATAAAGGATACTTAAGTGCGCGATATGTATTTACACGTGTCACATCCCTGTCAACAATTACCAAACCCCGCACTGCTATAACCACCAGCCATCTCTGTTATCCATCGCAATCCTGAGTATCAATGTGAGTTACTATTACACGGTATGTTTGCACGGATCGATAGCAAGACATGAATTTTAACCCTGTCAGCCCCGGATGATTGGATTTGGCGCGTTAGTGCACTAAAAGTCCTTGGTATAGAGAAGAAATTAGTTGCGGGTGTACATGTTTTACGCCCCCTCTGATTCACCGCAAGCCGTTCCTGGGGCTTCTTTAACTCTCCTGCTCAGATGTGATGCAGAATTTTCTCAAGACAAAAACTCTCCTGCTCGCTTTGTCAAGTGACAGCAGCCTTAACCCAGTATCCTAGCGCAGGCTGGCAGGACCGCCGCTCTGACCGCTATGCATACCCTGTCTCGGCTGTTATTGGGAAGAGCTGAGCCCTACAGCCTCCTCAGATCGTCTCGCACAGTGGTGTTTCACCATCAGATCCGCGCCGATTAGCGCCAAGTTCCAAGCGACCAAGCTCTTTGGAGTAGCCTAGATTGGGGTAGGGGAAGTGTATCGAGCAGATATACGCACTTGTCGGGATGATTTTGCACTGAGCTCAAGCGACAGCTTAGAGGAGACGGGAAGCCCGGCTTTTCTAGCCGTGCAATCGCTCATGACTAGGCTTCCACTATTTGGTAGTGCTGAGCTACTCGCTATAGCCTTAAACCATATCAATGGAATATACATTGTGAAGATGCTGGCACTAAGACCTGATACCCCGTGAGGTCGATAATCACTTAATTGAAGCCTTTTAGTCCATGGTTTTACCTCGATATTGCACGCTGAGTTGACTGAGCATGGCGCAATTGGTGTTCTAGGAGGGAGAATCGTGCCAACTTGCCCTTGATCCCGCATGACTCCACTGACAAGCACTGCTCTGTGCGTCCTGACTGGGTTGGTGACATACCTTCTGTCCGATTATCAAGGATATTACTACCAGATGCCTATGCCTGACTTGTCTATGCATAGGTGGCCGGGGATGCGGAGATTCCACACGGCCCGCGTACCCGTTACACTGTCAACTAAGACATACGCTAATCCAATTTTGAAACTCGGCTACGTGGTCCGATGTCAACCAATCTTGAATGTGGTCGAATTCGGTGTCGTGATGAAGGAGCCATCTTGTCAGCCGTATTGTTCTGGTGCGATGGTGATTCCCCCTCTAGAACAATAGACTCTAGAAAATATGTTTCGTCTGGGTAAATCAGGCAATCATGATCGGTATCTGAATATTTTCCCTCCAACAGAGTCGAGCTGATAGCTCCAATAAACTTTCGTCGAGAGCAAGCACTGGTATCACGTAATCTCCTTGATCTCGTCGATCTATTTTGTAACCGATCAGCCTAACTTCGTAATTTCTGGCTATTTGTAGCGCTCACGTCAGCTCCACGAATTTTCTAATTGGTTTGTAATCTATTGGCTGCAGATAAGTCAGTTGTGATGCTAAGTAGACGTCGTGAAATAAATGTAGGGCTCTCTAGCAGGTGAAAGCTTCTGTCCTGGAGATGATTCGTATAAAAAAAATTGTTTGAAGTGTCTAGATTATTGAAGAAGGTACCTAGAAATTACGTGATCGATTTGTGATGCCAATGTTGATGTTAACGACTAGTTTTTGACTATTGCAGTGTGATCAAACCTCTGCAGACTTGCACTTTGACCAAACAAAGCAAAACTTTTCTAGCTAAAAATCCGTAACTTCGACAAATCTAATCCTTGCTCGGAATTTAGTACCTAGCCGGTGGGGAAGTTCTAATCAGTACACGTACTTTTCGGCTTGACGATAAAAAAATTGATCGTTGAATCGAATTTTAGATTCAGGGCACACATACTATTCCCGAGTTGCTCTGAACCTGAGAGGTATTAGATTAATCTGAGCACGTATCCTTGCCAATGCAGGAGTCATGTCACCCATGTAAATCGATAGGGTCCGATAACCAGCTCATACATGTGTCTATGACTATCTAGCAAATTGGGCTCCTCTCTAACACAGGCTACACCTGTACAGTACTCCTATTCTCTTTTGTAACTTTCAAGATCACTGGTATATTGCCTATGATTAATAACCATTCAGCTCAGTATCCACTGGTGGATTATGAGCTCAAACAGAATGTACAATTTTCTGCTTCCGGTACAAACTTTAATTTTCTTCCTGTTGACAACCAGCTTTGATGATTATCTGGAATATAGATTCCTTTCGAATAACTGGCAATATCTATGTTTATTTAGTTCTTCATCTTACTGAATTCAGCTGAGAGGAATGATACTTAGTTGCGATAGGGTTGTATGAGTCCACTGACAAGTAGTGTTCTTAAGATCCCTTCAGTATTGTAAGCTAAAAGAGAGAAATGGTGTGATAAAACGAAGTATGAATATGTGCAGTAATGCCATTTATTATGGGTACTTGACTTATTCACTATCTCTATCTTGATATTATATCTCTTGAAACGAGGCCAAATCAACTATGTGTGACAAATTGCTTCGTTCAACAGATATAATTAGTAAAGCATGTATTCATCTCCACAGCGTAATATATTACATTTTTCCCTTGTACCAGTTTAGAAAATTCGAAAAGCTTGATACGTCAACCAACTCCACCGCAAATATTCATGACTTCTAATAGCACCGAAATAACTTGTACCAGATCCATTCTCTCTTAACCGTACTACTTGAAGACCACCGGTAAATCCTGCTGGGGCCAGGTCCAGTTCTTGCCCACGCTATTTAAGTCAACACTTGTGTTTTTCTGATTATTTTACTTGTAATTAAAAGAGGAATGAAAAGACATTATAGACTAAATGGAAATCAGCCATGGCTCACCCTGTTACTCGACGAACCCATAGGCTTGTCGGCTCATAAACAGCATCTAAATCCTTGCGTTTCCAGGCACGATGAAGCCGTAAACCAACTTGATGCTCCTCTCTTTTTAAATCTGCTTCTTCCATCATCAGCATCTCAACTTTTCGCTTTTCACGCTCGCGCCTCTGTCGTACTTCCTCAGTACCGAGTAGAGTATCTTTGGGCATTAATTGTGTCATTTGGCGAATACTTCGAGAAATATTCCATCGGCGGTGTGCGAGGTCTTCAAGATGCGCTTGTAATGAACCAACGAGATCATTCGAGGAATGTTCACGAGGAGTTTGTGGTAGGTTTTTCGAGTGGAAGAGGTTTTTGTTGGCGCCAAGGGCAGTCGAGGTTGCCATGTTGATAAAAATCGGGCTATTTGGAGGTAAGGCTTTACGAACGATTCGATTTGATGTAGGTGCTATGCCTTGGGGTTGTTTACGGTTGATAAGTGACTGCTCATGCTGGGTCGAAGCGTTAGTTTCGTGAGGTTGTTCATCTCGTACACCATGAAGGGTCAGGGATTGTACTTGGATTTCCTCAGGTGTATGTGTAATCTTATCAAGGCTAGGAGACGGTACGAAATGAGCGTCTTTTTTTTCGAAGTTAGAGAGCTTGGACGCCTCCGGTTGTTGGAGAGATTTGCGCTCGGTTATTGTCGTGTGTGTATGTGCGGGTGATAGTGATGGTTTCAGATTAACGTCTATAGATAGAGGCGTAACGGGGGTGGATAGATCTGGAGACCCTGTTGGAGTTTGACTTCCATCCATCACACTGTCTATATCTACATCGCTTACAGCTGGCTCAGGCACACTTCCGATTTTGGAATCCCCGTTAGCCTGTAAATTACTTACCTCTATCGTTTCATAGTTGGCAGGGCCTTCAAAACTAGGCTGAGCTGTAACATCAATTAAAGTAGGGCATTCATTAGCTAATTTTTTGTAATCATCAATTTCGGGCGTTATTCTTGCTTCAGGTGATGATAAACCTTCTATATATCGACTTTTTGTTAAATGCTTGGCGGGGTGTGTATCATGGTTGTCAACTGTTTTCGTTGTGGAGGAAAGCGTGTAATTCGCTACATTTTTTTGCTCCGATCTCTCACGAATTATAGGCGGTTTAAGCTTGCGAAGGCGCTTTCCGAAAGATGTTACTGTCGGGGTACCAGCTTTTTCGTCTTTGTTTTCATGCACAGACCGCAAAACTACGCCAAATGGCATAATTAGTTTTTTTGGTTTATTCTTTTTTAACTCCGGGCTGTTGGTTTTTTCTCGTCCTGTTACCTGACTTAAAATTACCACCTGATCCAATTTATCATTGGAACTAGCTTTATTGCTTAGTGCAGTATTTGTTAGTGAATAATTCTTTTTTTGAGGTTTATCTCCGCAAGCAGCAGATGTACATGAGTAAGTTTTTATATTCTCATTTACTTTGCGGTCTTGGCATAATATAGAGTCAGCAGTCTCGTCAATCGGAGAAACCTCTTCATCTACTCCTGATTGTCGTCTTTTAACAATTAGCATTTAGTTCTTATCAAAAAGACAATTTTGCCATCATAAATTTTTTAACATAGTATGATGTAAAATGATGTTTAAGAAAGCAGCTAGAGTCGCATTTGAATATCAATGTTGAGCACCCCAAATCAATAACTATCTAGTTATGAAACCCCATGATCTCAAAAGACATATTATACGACTATTCTGGACGTACCTAAGGTGCCATTCTCTCAAATCTGGGGAACTTAGGGGTGATATTTCAATGTCACTGAGTCTAGCGCTGTTCGTGTCTTGGTAGAGGTGATGTTCTGGCGTAGTGAGGAAGGGTAAGCGGTGGGATACTGGTGGCAAATATATCTCACCCTCTGAATCACAATGAAATGGCGCCGCTTGTTCTAATAATACTTTGTGAGAACTAGATTCGCTTGACCACATCAGCTCGAGTCATTTGCTTTAATCTCATCTATATTTGCTCCATCAGGATGTAGCGCGAATTTTTTTGGGTGGCATATCGAACAAGATAGCTCAGACTGTGCTTTCTCTTGTCTCAAACATGGTGCAAGGGTTAAACTTACAAAGGTGGGTAAGAGAATCCTGAAAAAGTTGAAAAAGTTGAAGAATTTCGATGTGTAGGTAAAAACTTGCGGCGAGCAACACTGTTCTCTTGAAAATTATGATGGGCTCTTGCCTCTAAAGCCTCAACAGGTTTGTCGTGAGACGAATGCGATGAGCTTCGTACGCCGCTCAATCTCTTCCACATCGTTGACATAGTGATGATGCAAATTCGGTGGCTAATTTGTATTGGGATGGTACTATGAATTTAGTGCGAAAAAGAATCGTACTCGCTCACAGTATGGAAACATCACGCATCTATTTCTTGTGTGCATAGGTGAGATTACTGGTACATTTGAAACGTCATGGATTGTGAAGTGTGTAGTCGCTCATGGTTTGATTGAGTTAGAACCCTCAACCTATCTGTATTTTTATTGGGAGGACCTAGTAGGTACCACCAATATGTGCCATACGCACACCACAGCCAACTTCGTCATTTCAAGAACCCTCCACATGCCTATGACGATGATGTCCTCCGGAGTTAAATTGAGTGATCCCTGCCTTTATTTCTCTCGGTTATTTGGACAATAATGGGGTACCGGAGCTTTTATTCCTTCCGGTGCTAGAGCGTTAAACTAGCAAGGTGTTAGCTGTGCGTTTTTTATATACAACTATGATATATGTACGTATGTTTATTGGCGAGTTCGGCGCTGGCAAAGACGAATTCTTTACCTCCCAGTGGTGTTGGTGTAATCGCTCTACATACTCTGTATATCTAGGATAGCCAAGAAGAATCGCATCCGAATAAAAGTCAAAAGCAAATACATATAAAATCGGCGAATTCTCATCAATAACGGTCATGTTATTCTCACTGTAGTCCTACCTTAACCTCACAACACACCACCTCGCCTCAACGACCAATAAAGGTGTCACCCCAATTACAAACAGGAGCTTGCCTCATTCATTGCTGACCATTATCCACTCCAAATTTACGACACTACGTCTACTCGTATGGAGGAAATTAAGTCATCATATACAAAGCTCGAATCGTGGGTTATGTGGGACTGTTGCTACAATAGGGCTATATATCTTGAGGAAGGACAGGCGAATGGTGCGTGGAAAGACATAAGGAAGAGATCTCTCGTGGGAATGATAGGTCTGATATTGCCGAGATGCTTCCGACTTTAGAATGTTTTTAGGCACCAAGACCAAAATTTCGGCTGATTAGCCGGGAGAGCTTCTTTTGGCAATGAGTCCATGGCCCTCCTCAGAGCCATAGACGGTACAAGAGAAGTCTGGCTAAGCTACTATACAGCAATCACGCTCTGTCAAGACTTTTCTGACATTTCAGCACGACCTTCGGGAATGAGTTGGAAGGAGGCTAGAAAGGTAGAGTGTGAATTTGCCGAGGTACCCACAAGTCTGCAGCGCCCAGTTGGCCGGCCTCTTCGAGCGCCTCAGAAGGTTCAATATGTCTTCGGATTTAGTCCTAATGTCGGTATTAGGAGAGCCGCGTACCCAGCGGTTTTTGCAATATTTCCCGGCTGCCATACACTCGCAAATGGCCATCGTTTCGTTGGCTGGAGAGGGGAGATAATCAAGGGAAAAGGGCTCCTCTAAGTGTGTGATCGAAGCAGGACTTGTGAGGGGTGGTATTGTTTGAGGGGAGTTGTATGGGAGGCAAAGGAGGGGATATACTACTGGAATAGGTATCCTTGGCCTATAGGCAGAGAGGACCTGCATGTACTACATAGTCGTAGACTCAGAAAGGACAAGAAAATGGAATGATAAAATACCGAGCATAATTCCTTCAAGTCGATAATCCATCAAATAAAATTCAAACCACCCTTGTTTATGACTGAGTATCAGCTCTGGAATAAATTTTCACCCCCAAGCTCGTGAGGGACACCACTAATAAGTGGTTAGCATTAGTCCTCCAAACAGGAATGTAAAATAGGAATGGCACATGACGGGTGTGTAATATACATGTTGACTCACTCTTGTGTCAGACGCTCAAACGCTGGATTTCATTCGCAAATACCACCAAAGTATATTTATCTGCATGGGTCAATCAAAACTCTCTTCCGGAGGGATCCACCAAAGGGAAGTTTCAATTTCGTTAATTTTATGATAATTGTTCTTTTTAGGATATGATTGTATGGGAAATATAGGTCCAGGCTGCTTACAGGACGTGGATAGCTATACTGTACGAATCTCATCTTCCATGTCTCCTCTAGAGCTCCCTTCAAACGATGCTACCTCTCGGAAGTCCTCATTCGATCATATACTTGGAGAAACATTCTGTCCTTCATTATCTTCCCTCTAAAACCAATGATACGTGTGCTGTCAGTAGTTTCATGGCAGCCATAATAAATTGGAAAACCACTGAGCGCGGGGCTTCTCTAATATAGAAATCAGGACCGAGTCCGACGACATAGCCCTCTTTTTGGGGGTCTCAAAGGGCCGGCCATTGGATCGCTGCAGATTCGTGTAAACCTTAATGAGTCATTTTCTTCTTGCCTTGGCTCATTTCAACTCCTTCCGTCATTCGCGCTTCCGAAGAAATTGAAGGTCGTCTTCAGGTGCTAAAAAATTGTCGACAAGGAATATGTACTGCAAAATAGCCTAGCTTTACTTCTTTACATTGTCCGCGATAGTGAAGAATATCATAAATTCATTGACAGTAGAGGCTCGCATGACTAATGTTGGTCTCAATCACAACTCGACGGAGTCTAGGATTGATTGACTGGTTGGTCATGTTTAAATCGTGCTACTTGGGTGACTGACTGTCCACCTCAATGAATCTCTCTCTGGTCCAGGCCACACCTTGTACTAAACTTTTATTCTATTTTGTTACGAGATTAAGATCTCTCATATAATATTCATGATGGATAGCAATTTATGTCCCTATTTTTTATAACATGAGAGATCAATTCTGGTCAACTCCATAAAATTTATGCTAGAGAGATATGACGGGAGATGAAGGGGAAATGTATTGTGATTCAGGTATGAGTAGGTATGAGATGTTGAGTATTCTAGGGATAGTGCAGAGAGTGGATAACGATTATCAGAGCTTGACGATATGATGAATAGCTTAGTTATGGTCATCTACAAATCACAGTGGTAGATAGGACTTATATACACATATTTAGTACCCGCTAGACAGTACATCACCGTCTATGCAGGAAGTACTACAATCTTAATTCCATGCCATAATATCCCACATTACTCTATGCCATTGTACAGAGCTGCGCCTCAATAGTCGATTGTAATGATGGCCATGTCGGGCTGTGCAGTACTCGCATAGATATGTTATGTCCCTGGCACTTGGCAGAGATTAATTTAGAGTAAATGCAATAATCACATCACAACAAAATGGACCACGTAAGTAATCATGAATCCTCATCGAAGTGGGGAAATAAATTACTCTATGCAAAATTGTTTGCGAATGGAATAATATTGTGTAGAAGGTTTATACCACTGTTATTTAGTTTTAAGTCCTTGGTCGAAACCTTCTATCTATTAGGTGTAGGACAAGAGGGACCAGTCGAGATTTAACCTTGAGACCTGCCCTGCTCGTTCACACTCGTTTTACGGCTAGTAAATATGGAGTTCATTCTACGAGTAATACATGTTTCACTTTTTTAGAAATGGAATCATAATAAAACAAATCATTGAAGGGTAAATTTTCTATTCTCAGGCTATCGAGCATCTAAAATACATAACTTTTCCTTACTTGCAACCCTGCTAGGGGACTTGCGGGGAATAATGCTACCACCGATCATAGCAAAATATGCTCAGGACAGATAAGATTTGGAAATTATCGGAAAAGTGATTGTGGTGCTGGTGATGGCTACGATTACGATGCACAAGGGTAATGATCACTGAGGGTGAAGGAAGAACTTTCCAGGTGGCTCCATGATAAGTAGAGGAACAATGGAGTGCTGTATAGAAAGTGTTTCTAGATTGTATTACCAGATGGAGGAAATTAGCATATTCCGCGACACTGTTTTGGGAAGATAAGGCGAGATTCTAGCTAACTCAGGTGTGTATGTAATTGGCGTTTTCGACCTCGTGAATCCTCATAGTCTTGAATACCGAGAGTATCAGCAGTTCACATTGATTCATCGATAGCCATCCGTAAACCTTCTGTCAATTCACCTCGGTGAGCTCTGTAGGGGTCGTAAGATAGATGTTATTCACGAACTATCTAGATCTAGGTACAAAAGAGAATCTTAAACTGGAGAGGAAAGTAACTGGGGGAACCCACTATATGAATGATCTGGCTTTATGCCAAGGTTTCGAATTATGAAAGTGAAGTGGATAATATGAAGAACAGGATGTGGGGGATATCTCTTGCATAGGTGCCTAGTTGCTCGGCTTCTCTGCAATCCGCTCGAGCTAGCTCTATCACCACTTAACCATCTGACCATTCAACCATTATGATGCAGGAAGTCTGGGTCTCCAATCATCCTTTAGCCCTATCATATATTAATCCTTCAATATTCAGACACCTTAGGCTTATGCCTGAGTTGTGCTTGGCTCTAGCCTATGACAAGCTCTTACTTTTAGAACATATGGGCCCAATCATAGAATGAGTCATGTAAATTCCGAAGAGTAATTTATTTTCCTTCTCATACATTTTGTATCACTAGATTGTCTATGGCTCGATCAGTACAATAAACAAGCTCACAAATCTTGAATCAGTGTTGGCTACGCTATCCAAATCATGTTACAAGTCAATTCGGGTGAACCTAGATAGACCGAAGCTCACCAGTACAGTGAACGAAGAAAGACATGAAAAAGGGAAATTGTAACTGGTGTGTAATCAGCGTTACTCATCCTAAGCTCTCCGTCGCCAGCGCTCTAGTCCCGGCATTTATATGTATCCACGTTTGAGGGTTGACTTGGGGTGAAAAAAAGCCACCATTACTTCGTAGAGGTACTTGCAAATGAAATCCAAGGCATATGTGCTCTTCTTGTAGTTTGAGTCATCTGTTCTATACTTTTCTTTGATATTGTGTCATAGCTAGATAGCTACATACGCAATTAAAATCTGATGCAAAAAAATGTCCCGGCATTTGTCTAATAGCTTTACTTGCATCCAGCAGCAACTAGTACGCGTCCGGCCTACCAATGCAGCATATAACCTATGTAAATTTATTGATCTCTCTAACCTTTGGTGCCCAAGGATTCTCCTCGCAAAAGCATCAATTC